AAAAAAGGAATGACATCTCTGTTTACGGCTATTGTATGTTTTCTTTTCGTAACGTGCGGTTATCTCATTAATGAGCTCAATATGCGAGGGTCAGAGGCGTAAAAGTGTGTCAGAGTGTCTGTTTCAAAGAGTGTGCTGGTGATGGTGCCAAAAGGTGCTGGTATTTTGGGTCTGTCCTGAGATAGATGATCATGAAGACTACAAATGCAAAGATTTTATTTCAAAATATTCCATGGGTAGATAGTGATCATAGCTAAATGTACCGTATGTGTTGCATTTATATATTTCAAATTTTGTGTTGTGCTGCAAACTATCTCATCTTTGTACTGTATTTTTGAAAGCAGTATTCACCACAATAGCTTCTCATTGCTTTCTGAGTTTTCCCTTTCCGCTTGGCTTGTATTCGGTTTTTAGACGCTCTCCGTGGAAATGCATGGTGCCTCGTCATACCCCGTACCCACTTCAACGCTCGGTAGGAGGAAAATTACCGCTGATACGCGGCGCAGGGGCAAAGGCGGCGATGCCAGGAATTTATCGCCTTTGTATGCAAGTTGAAACGAAATATCCCGAGCCAAAGTCGTCAAAATTGGATTGTTTGTGGGACGGGTAAAAACTGCAGCCAACGTATTGGAATGATATATGTCCTTGCGTCTTAACTCAAGACCCTAAGTTGGTTCTTAACGCAAGGTGTTTGTCTAAGCCACGTGCCATATAAAATTACCAGCTGCGGATGACACCACGCGTTTTGCTTGAAACTACGATCATATTCGGAATTGGAAATAAAAAGCTGCGGGCGACAAATATCAAGCCTTCTGTCCCTAAAAATAAAGCCTGGGATATAGAAAACCACATGATATTGATGATTAGCCGGTACCGTTACGCTTAAGCATTGGACAGCAGTGGAGCAGCCTCGCCGTTGCAAGATGTGCTAAGAGGTCCATTTCCAACGCGCGGGCCCATAACAGGCTTCTCTACATCAGGGGACGTGCCTCACTCCGTGGGTTCATGGAGGGAATTTGACTTGAACAATCGCACCTGTGTATTCACTTTCTGGGCGTCCAGCGAGGAGGTTTCCTTCCATCCACCTCAATTCAGATGTTGTGGGCATGTTCGGTAAATGTCCAAACCCTCATTCCCTTCCGTTGTTGTACAGACCCCAAGGCCACTCCGTGCCCTTAGTGATACTGGTAACCCTCCACCAACCTCCATCCTGCCCATGTATAATGCAGTATATGGAGGGCTCGCAGATCGCTCTAGTTCGCTATCTGCGAAGGTTATCAGTTCAGTGACTTTTCTATCGTAAATTTACAATACTTCAAGTTGAATTCAACTTATAGGCCATTTGGATAATTCATGGTAGTCTGCTTGCCGTTCTTCAAAACTGCCTTTCGAAAAGATCTTTGGCTAATTGACCATACAACTTTCCCATTCGTGTCATTGCTGTTCGTCTAAATCCCTTTTCGGCTAACAAACGTTTCGACTGATACAAATTTTGATTTACTTACTTTTGATGGCCTGCACGCCGTAAAAAAAACTGTCAGGAAAAAGTGCGCGCTACATTTTCTAGTTATCCGTCTATCAAGCATGGAGGCAAAACACATGGCCTCAAAAAGCATTCAGTTTTTCATATCCGGCGAAATAACATTCGACATAAGCCTCGCAGCAATTGGTTTTCGGACCACACATGCCGGTCGGTAAGAGATGTTGCTGTCTCCACTGCTGATAACCCATAAAAAGCTGTTGCACCCCTGGCCCAGTCAGTTACATCGCCCACCTGCGAACCTACCCGTTGCCGGATGTGTGGACTCGAGTTGCTTCGGCGCCTCATTTTACCTCTCGGTACTTGCCGCTGCGGTTGATGGCAGTGATTACGTAGGATAAGATGAGGTCAGGTGGCGTGGCAAACCGTTCCGGGTGTTGTTGTACGTGGCAAGCTTTCGTCACAAAATTCTGCCAGTGAACTGGAATTTCACAGCCAGGTGGTTGCATCAGGGCTCATGTAACACGCCCTGCTCAAAATGGACACTGATCCCAGCACCCATTCATTGCAATGTTGGGCCTAATATAAAAAATAATAGTGGTGCTAACAAGAAGATACAGAGCGTTATAGTACTTTGCACGATCGACTACGCGATGGAAACATCGGCTCCGTTTGATAATCACGTGCGAGTCAGGAGATCAAACCACGACACTTCGTTTCCGCGGAGCTTTCAGAGTGTCTCCCTGACAAGCGTGGCTTAATTTAAAACATCCTGTCATTTACTTCCAAGAGATGATGCGGCCATCCGCACTCATAACGTGGCCCGCCACGACCCAAAACTTGGGCCTTCGTAGTACGACCTTCCAAGACATTTGCGACGTTGATGTGAAAGCTCTCAAGATCTGAGCGGACTGAAACCTCCGAGCCAACTACGCTAACCGGTGGGTAGTTCAGAGCATAGCTGAAGTGTGGTAAGACTAGGTAAGAATAGACAATGTGTAGCAATGTTTCACACACTTCGACCATGTTGTGGATGGAGTAAACAAATTGCTGTCATGGTGGTCACCAGATCTAAATACGTGTCTTGTTTTTGAATGGCGACGAGATTGACAATCTCCCCCAGAAATATGTTGGGAATCGTTTGTGCGGGTTGTTGGTGATCAGATAATTGTTCAAGAAGAGCTTGTTGCTGGTATTTTCTAGGTAAACCAACCAAGTTTTGCCCTTCCAGTCCAGCGATTGGCTTTGTGGCAGGCCTCCTTCGCCGAGCAGAAATGTATAAAGACTATTGTTATCTGCGCATGTTTGTAACACGACCTACCCATGCTAACTAAGCTTTCCATGCCAGCCGGGCCAAACAATGCGCCCGGTCTGGGACTTTTACCCCGTGTGACTGCTGTACAAGGCCAGCATAGTTTCGACAGACCATGTAGGCGCTCCAAAGGAGCCTTCATCATCATCTTGCAGAGCATCGTCGTTAAGAGCTGCCGTCGGCATACGGAGCATGACATGACTGAATGTGAACTGGATTTCCCAATCCGGGTTGCAATTACCGTTTCCGTGGATGGTAAAACTGCGTTACATCAGAAAATCGGGCTAACTAGGCTTTCTTGAAAATTACGCCAATTATGGCGCATTGGGTACATTTTTTGACAGGAAGGTCTTCTGCTTCTACGGACTCTCCACAGCATGTTCGGAAGTTTATCACCAATATTGTTGATTCGACACTTAACCTATATCATGCTGTGGCCGCTGGAACGGCAAAAAGGTATCTGCGGCGAACAGACACGACGGCCACTTAAAATTGTTTTGCGTAAGTGCATGTTTCCCTTACCGCCTGCTGATTCTTGGCAATAAGGAATCGCTCGCGGTGAGCGCCATGCGCGACGTATAAGCTTCGAACTCTGGCCATAATTAGAGTCCGCAAAGGCCTGATCTAGTCCTGAAGGACTCAGCCGCATTACTTTATCTCTATACCTGAACATCGTCCAAAACTGCCACGGCATGTTGCATGACTTTTTGGTACAATGCGGATGTCGTCAGGAAATGCTGATCCAACCCGGATTGGAAAGTTTTGCTGAGGCGACCAAAGTGGTGTTTCCATGATCTTTGACATCGGATTAAGAAGGTGATCAACACAACTTAAGTCAAAATAAGAAGATGAAACCTTGTAAAAACTGGCAATAAAACCATGTCCATTGTCACTGAAATCCGATATTAAAAGGGAAATTCAGATGCCTTGGTCACATGGAGACTAGGTCCTCGTTTGGTGCTAACATTTTTTAACGGACGGGGTGAAGATGTTGAGGTCACGATCCGTGGGTGCGCTGGGAAATGCGCCTGGAGAAGAGTGCAAGCTTCCCCGGAGACTCTCGGGGTGAGTTTTAGTAGAGCCCAAGGGTTCGTGGGTACTGCTCTTCCAAAGCGTCCAGCGAGAAAGTTTGCTTGGCTGGTGGCGAGCCGACGTCCTGCCCTGCTTCTTGACGCTGTGTGGTGCAGACGGAGGGTGACTGACGTTTGACCTTTATCTAACGAGTGCTGTTCCGACGGATGGTGACAGGGTGACATTTGACCTTCTCCAGACGATGTGAATGAGACGGAAGATGACAGGGCGACGCCCTTGTTTGACGGGTTGCAGCGCCGGTGTAGGAAGGAAGAGCAACATCCCAGTGAACCCGACTCCTGACGATGCGGCATGGTTTGCCAGTCATAGAGTGACGTCCTAAACAGGTGTCTTCCCTGTCTGCCCTCTCCTGCTCTTGACGGTGGGCGTTGCACGCCGCTTGTGGACAGCGGATAGGACAAGCTGACCATCTGACGGCACGCACGCGCGCGGCGCCGGTAGGGAGTGATGCGACGCCTCGTCAGTGGGGCTGACGGCGCGGCGATGACCGTCAGCGGTATCTGGTGCGTGTGTGTGGCCTCGCGGGGCGGCCGCCGCCCGGCCCGGGGGGGAGGGCAGCCCACCGACCCACCGCAGTTGAACTGTGGCGGCGCGGTGGACGGAGCCGGCGGCGCTGACGGGGACGGCTGGCCAACTCTATCATCAGGTGAGACTCGCTTCCACTCAGTCGATGTTATCAGAAGCGACAGTGGCGTGCGGGCTTGCTGGTTAAGAACACAGGAAGGAGACTGATGCACGGTCAGATGCAAGCTTGTCTCTTTCATTTGCCTCCGGAATAACAGGATTGTCGACATCGAGCGACCTGCTCCTGTCTTTAAAGCCATCGTATTTATCATTATTCCATGGCTTGCAAACGGTTATATTCTTAACATACCCGCTTATATAACACCACTGATGCCACTGCAGAGCCAGCATAGCTGTATACCGTTGGCACGTGTAGTGATCGCAGCAGCGGAACCGTGCAGCACCGGCACGTCGGTCACGTGCTGGTGCGGATCAGGCTCGGAGGAAGGGGTGTGGTCTTCAGATCACTCCAAGTGGTAATCGCCATTAGCACGCGTCTCCACATAACGGGTCTGACTTGAGCCAACAATGCGATATGGTCGGTAGTAGTAGACACGATGCATCTCATGAAATGATGCAGCTGGATCAGTAGGATTAAGCGGCCTGGTATTATGCAGATAGAATTACGCGGCTGGTGCTTTGGCACAGTTTGTAAGGAGACGGGGCGTAGCTAAATATTAGAACACTACTGCGCCGATTGTTGATTTTATGGCACTCGTGTCGTGCATGGGAGTGCAGTGCGGTGATGGTCGCACGATGTATTCTGCAACGGCCGTAAATGGCAGAAATTAACCAATGCATGGTCTGCAGCTCGTGGATGTGATCTTTGTAATCGGTGTTTCAGCACAGCTATAGGTATAACGCTATCGTGTTGCATCATTGCGGAATATGTATTGTGATCAATGAAAGACGCAACTCAACTGGATGTGGAGGCTTATTATCTGCTCTTATGCTGATGTGCTGTCCTACATTACCGTAACAGCGAAGTTTGGTTATGCTGCTAGCACTCGTAATGTCTTACTAATGATTCTCAGATAAGTATTTTTCGATAATTTTGAATAATCGTCAAAGTTTAAACAAAGGCTTCATGACGTCGCACCTTTGGCGGCAACTGGTATCCAAATTGTTATATACGGTTATCAGATGCTGAGATGTCTGCCCCTGTTACAAGTTATTTCACCGGTGAGAATAATTCGGTGGACCTGCTGGAAACCTTTCGGCATTTCCGGGGCAATGCAATGCATGACGGGATCTGCGTAAGAAAATGCCAAGCTTCTGCCGGGAATCACCCCAACATAACGGTATGAACAGGAAAGCGAGGGTGCCTCGATAACGCTTCATGCAAATACGGAGTGCCTCATTGGGTTGACCGTCTGGACTGCAAGGTTGGTTAAGCTCTAAGCTGCAGAAGCAGGTCGGGCCTCGCGTGGGTGCCGCTGGCCCCCACGCGCTGTCGCTCATGGCGCCGTCACAAATTAGACGTCCAGCTCTGCTAACGCCGCGTCATTGCCCGCTGAATGTCGGTTTCTCATCATAAGTGTTGCCTTACTATCAGCGCGCTCTGAAGAGGCATCCTCATCTGTATGTTGATTGTCTTCCCTGCCCGGCAAGCTAGTCCGCCAGCCGCGTCACAGACACTTGCGCTGGGCTTGGGGCCTGGGACACCCACCAGACATTTAGAGGCGATGTGGCAACAATGAGTTGATGAGCAAGTTACCCGTTCATTTGAACTGAGGCCGATTGTGTTTTGAATGGTATCCGTTTGTAAGACCGCAGGTAAGAACGTGATATTTGTATGCTTGGAATATCGTGATTGAAGCGCAAATCAATTTTATGCTATTCAAAGTTGTGTATCTATGTTAATTGACATATTGTAGCTCAATCACAATGCAGCAATCCGAGTTCACAATGTTATGACCTGAGGTCAGTGTTGTGGTACAGATGGCGTTACGTTGTTCCAACCCGACGTCTGAGCGCGCTATTAACATGCTTCAAAACGAAATGAAAAATGGATCAGTTTTCACGTCACGCTACAAAAGTAAATGATTCTTCGACATTCCTTACAATGTCCATATATAGGTGCACTCCGTCGTAGGTATGAGGTACTTATCATACAATGAGAATATTCAGCCCGTTGCATGCCACTTACACATTTAACGCCTAGCTCGAATCACCAGTGTATTTGCGTGTGGTTATGAGGTGTTAACAATACACATAAATTTCATTTCGTTACTGCATACTACGTTAACATTCAACGCCCAAGCTCAGATCAAAAGATCAGCGATGGTGCCACCGGTTCGACGGGGCGCCCTGTCGCAAGACAGTGTGCGCGAATATGGTTTTAACTCCGTGTGGAATTTTAGTGGGCCCTTCGGAAGCGATGCTGGGTTTTTTTATGTATCGTCAACATGAACGCTGCTGTCAGGAAGGCCGGTGATGACCAGCAACATAATGTCGCAATGGTCGAGGGCAAGCCCCAGGTGTGAAAGGGTCCGGTGTCGTCAGGGGTACTCTTACTGTTGAAGCCCCCAGTCATTAGTGACGGGAGGCCCGAAAACTGTAAAATCTTAAGTGTTTAAGACCTAAGATACGGCAGGAAGTCGAGAAGAAGCAAGGATCGAGGACCAAAGGAGAGCCGGGCCGAGCAGGGACCAAAGGAGAGCCCAGCCTAGGACGGTGGACGGTTTAGACATGTAGATAACTTCAGTGGTATCCTGGTGCTGTACAACAAGAGCTCTCTGTTCAGACGAAGACGGCGTCCCATCTAGCTCTAAGGATCTCCGGCCAGGAACGACAGGAGGTCCCAATAATAAGGACCCTTGGTGATGAAAAGTCAAATTACGGCAGAAAAATATTGGCACGACGAAGAGAAGGTCACCGCCCTCTTTTGCTTACGACTTGGGTGGTCGAATCACGCAGGAGCAGGGGGCCCTTGTCATGACGGGCATGGCCATGGTGCAGTACGGCAGAAGGCCCTCTTCAGGCTAGGAACAGACCCTTGCCGCGACTGAGAAGGGGCTCCCTGTTATGATGGGGGTGATCCCATTAATGTAGTGATCCGTGATGTAGCAGAGTTTTTGGATGGTTTTAACGTTTTCAGGAACTGACTGAACGCTGGTATTGTAACAAAGCCATGGGATTTAACGCGTGTTCGAATACGGTTCCTACTTTATGCCCAAAAAGATTGTCTTATCTCTGCAGCGTATGCAGATTTGAGGGAATATGGGTGGTACCAGAACCTTAAGGACAGATTTAGGGAACGTTCATTGCGGAGGCAGGCCCGGCCACCGAGTGGGAGGGAAGGAATCAAGGAACTAGGTGTCTTTATTTAGTCAATGATGGCCTAAGGCCCAGAAAGGCAGCTTTATGCAGAATGGCGTGGCCTGACGCGTGCAGACTAGCGACTGTAGAAAATTTTCCCGTGCACGGTCAGGATGCACCTAAATATAAAAATGGAATCGTGTTTACCGCTTTCACCCAGCGGACATGTTGAGACTCCAACCGAAAGGCCCGACTAGGTAAAGCCTGCTAGCCGGACGGGCCACCAGAGCGGCCGTGTCAGCAGCTGACGCCACCAGCGCTTTAACATGTGGTGAAAGGTGGTATCAGCGAAGAAGACTTTAAATTCTTGGTGTTTTGGCGCTGTGACGTGGAAGTTTTCATGTTGGAATAATTGACCTTCAGTCTACCAGAAGAAAGTACCAGGTGACAGCATCGAGAAACCAGACTGGTTGTGTTGAGAAAACTCAGCGTTTCGAAGCTGTGCTCAGGGCAGATCTCTTCCAAAAAATAGATCAACACCATCCCAAAATTTACTTCACTTTGAAGCGCACCGCACAAAATGTGTTCGTTGCATTCCTCGACGCCTGTTTTGTGGGACAACCGTGTGGGAAATGCATCGCCAGACTGTCTGTCCCTAAAGTACTTTAGCCCGTTCCGATGCCTCAGCTGGGTGGAGCGCCTGCGTTCCGATTCACCCGCCAGTGGTATAGTGTTTTTAAGTCGTTATTTCGCTATTTGTCCCCGACTGGACTGCGGTCGGTGCGAGCGGCCGTGCTACAAGCCATGTAACGTCATAGGGAGGTGGGCTGTGCCAAGCACTGTAGCACGTTAAGCTTTTGCCGCAAAATTCTGGCATTGATTGCCCACTGAATGGTACAAAATTTCCCACTGGGTGCATCATTTTGCTTCTTTAGGGAGAACATTTTGCACCCACCCCCACCTTGGATCCGTCCCTGCCTAACTGGGTCTCTAAACGTTTTCACATTTAGGAAACTTTGACTCAGTCCCCACCATCAGCGTTCCCAAACAATGTACACGTCCGTATTATTACAGCATGATAAGTTCCAAGCGCAATGAAGATCGAAATGCATTGGGAGGACTCTTTAGCCCAGCAAGGCTATTTACAGTGGCAGCGAGACCAAGCACAAGACACTGGCCGACTGACCTAGAGAGCTTGTACCGCTCCTGGAAAAAAGCATTCTGTCAATGATATAAGATGCCTTTCGTGACAGCAAGTCTTAGTTTGCCGCTGTATGCTAGTTAAACATTTACCACCAAGCTCGAGCCAGAAGTGCACTCTCACATTTATATGAAGTGCTTACTCATGCTTAATATCGCGTTTTGTGGTGACAAAAATATTCATCCCAGCGCTGTGTGTCACGTGCCGAGTTAGTCAGAAGCCTTTGGCTCAGTTTTCCGAGAAGTGAAATTGCACGCGGCGGGGTAACTGACCGGCCCGGCCAGCCGGGACGAAATGGCCGTCAGGACCGGGCGAGAGCGGGCCATGCAGCGCGCAGGCCGTCAGGGCCGCGCAAAGAACGGACCATGCAGCGCGCGGCGGCGCAACTCTACTCCTGTTCACACTGTCTGGTGGTCAGCTCTCACATAAACACCTGATGTGTGTGTGTGTGTGTGTGTGTGTGTGTGTGTGGGTGTGGTGTGTGTGTGTGTGTGTGGTGTGTGTGTGTCTCTCTCCTTCTCCTCTACTCTATCTCTCCTCTCTCTCTCCTCTCTCTCTCTCTCTCTCCTCTCTCTCTCTCTCTCTCTCTCTCTCTCTCTCTCTCTCTCTCTCTCTCTCTCTCTCTCTCTCTCTCTCTCTCTCTCTCTCTCTCTCTCTCTCTCTCTCTCTCTCTCTCTCTCTCTCTCTCTCTCTCTCTCTCTCTCTCTCTCTCTCTCTCTCTCTCTCTCTCTCTCTCTCTCTCTCTCTCTCTCTCTCTCTCTCTCTCTCTCTCTCTCTCTCTCTCTCTCTCTCTCTCTCTCTCTCTCTCTCTCTCTCTCTCTCTCTCTCTCTCTCTCTCTCTCTCTCTCTCTCTCTCTCTCTCTCTCTCTCTCTCTCTCTCTCTCTCTCTCTCTCTCTCTCTCTCTCTCTCTCTCTCTCTCTCTCTTCTCCCTTTCTTTCCCGCACTCACTCACTCACTCACTCACTCACTCATTCACTCACTCACTTTCTCACTCACTCACTCACTCACTCACTTTCTCACTCACTCACTCACTCACTCACTCACTCACTCACTCATCTCTTTCTCCACCCTCACCCACTTTCTCATTGCCTTACTCTGCCACTCACTCCCCTCCCTGCCATAATTTGCCTCATCGCCGCGAAGTGCTCAGTTCCAGCAATGCTATTCCGAGAGTCAGCCACGGGGTGGTTACAGCAAGGTACTTATAGATGCGCAGGAGGAGCAGATAACATTTAAAACCAATCACATGACATCGTAAAATTTACAGAGTGTAGTGCAGCTATTTCCTGGGCAGTTACTAGGGTGGCTGGGGAGGCCTGAAGGCAGCAGGCTGCGACACTGCAGACGGTCTGAACAGCAATCTGTGCGGAGAGGAGCGCGCCACCGCTGGCGGCGGCACTTCGCCAGTGTGCAGCGAAGCGCTGTCTGCCGGGGGCGGGGAGGGTGCCGACGGCACCCCGTACGTGGGGCTGGCGGGGCATCCGGCTGGCCCCGACATTCCGTGGCGTCGGCCGGGCGTGGCGCCCCCAGCAGACAGGGGCTGAGCGGCGAGTGGAATGTAAGTGGCACGCCAGGTGGCGCCCGCTGCCACATTTGGTCAACAGTGCAATGTTGCCAACCGTTATGGGAACAGATTGGCTCCCTTTGCTTCAATGAAATCACCTCGTCGCACTCACGGCACGTTTACACACGGACAGTGACGGGGCATCCATATCGTTTTGGGTTGTGATTGCCTTTCATAACTCAAAAATGTAGTCCGAAGTATGACACAGTCCCCATTGGCTACTTATACTTTAAGCTGGGCTGTGGCTCACTTCAGGATAAACCACACCCGGGTTATGTCACGGGCATGAAACGGATATTACAGCTTAGATTTGTGAGAAAATGAGCAAAGTGACCACCTAGAAAACCACCTGTTATATGTAGCAATATAACCTGAGATGAGAGCCCCTATGATGTAATACTTTGTATTACAAAGTTCATTGCCTGAAACACCAAGAAATAGAAGGGAAAGACCGCACAACTTGGCGCGCAACATCGACGAGAAGAATATAGAGTCTATGAAGGAAACGTCTTTGGTGAGATCCATTACCACTTCTTCGCCGTCGCCATTCCCTTTCAATGTCATGCACGGCGTTCGTGGGTAAGGAATGCCAAGGAACGCTGGCGCTGCAAAGCTGCCTGAACAAATGGCTTCCAACGGTGAAGTGGTGCAATTATAGGCTCTCGTGAAGCCTGCTGCGGCTGCTTTCACAGTGGTACAATGGCAAACCTCACCCGAATTCATCGTTGACTTGCATTTTATTGCCATTAACGTCACAGTCTCTTTATATTACCTTGGCTCCCTGTGCAAGATGGAGCCACTATATGCACGTCAAAGTCCGTCTGGGCTGCTGTGGTGTGGCTAGTCGTCTGTGACAGTTATCTTCGTCTCCCGCCGCGACTCAGCGGTACAGCGTATGGTCTCGCTAGTGTCTGTGACAGTTGTCTCCGTCTCCCGCCGTGACTCAGCGGTACAGCGTATGGTCTCGCTAGTCGTCTGTGACAGTTGTCTTCGTCTCCCGCCGCGACTCAGCGGTACAGCGTATGGTCTCGCTAGTCGTCTGTGACAGTTGTCTCCGTCTCCCGCCGCGACTCAGCGGTACAGCGTATGGTCTCGCTCCTGGTCTCTAACTTGTTTTGCCGGCCTTGTTTCAGCGATGCGTTGGCTGTGGACAATCGCCCTGCTGCTATGTCTGCTTACCTGTCTGGGGGCCAGCAGCAGGCCGCGCCACGGGCGGCGCGCAATGCTGGGTCCGCACGTACACACTCTGGCCAGGGCCGCCCTCCGCCGGCGACGCCAACACCAGCCACGGTGAGCAGCCACCCAGCGGTGCCGCAGTAGGGGTCAGTCGGATACTCATGGCCGGGCCCCACCCAACATTATCACAGTAGGGGTCAGTCGGATACTCATGGCCGGGCCCCACCCAACATTATCACAGCAGGGGTCAGGCGGACAACCATGGCCGGGCCCCACCCAACATTATCACAGTAGGGGTCAGTCGGATACTCATGGCCGGGCCCCACCCAACATTATCACAGCAGGGGTCAGGCGGATAATCATGGCCGGGCCCCACCCAGCAGTGCCACAGCAGCGGTCAGTCGAATACACATGGCAGTGAGACCTCTCCAGTGGTCACTGGATGCTGGATAAGCAGCAGCGTTCAGTGAGATACACAGCAGCGCCGTAACGTTCAGTGGGATATGCAGCAGCGCCGTAGCAGCGTTCAGTGGGATACGCAGAAGCGCCGTAGCAGCGTTCAGTGGGATAAGCAGCAGCGCCGTAGCAGCGTTCAGAGGGATACACAGCAGCGCCGCAGCAGTGGTCAGTGGGGCACACAGCAGCGCCGCAGCAGTGGTCAGTGGGACACACAGCAGCTTCACATCAGATGTCAGGGGAATGCACTGCAGCACGCTCGATGCTTGATGCGCAACTTTGGTAATGCGTGGGTTAAAAGCACGAAGTCGCCAAACCGTCTTCTTGCATGGCTGTCGTCTGTGGAGAAACGGACAAACCGCATACGGTACTGGCAACAGCTCTATTCAAGGAAAGTTTCGATGAATTTCAGAGCTGATTCCCCTGACCGGTCGACACCCGCTCCCTTTCGCTTCAGAGGAGAGGTCGCCAACAGCAGAGTGTCGGCCGTGGCTCGCGGCGGCCCCAAGAAGAGCAAGCTCTCAAAGAAAGCCTACCTGACCATGCTGAAGAAGCAACGAGGCTTCAAGGACAAGTCAGCCAAAGCGAGGTTACGTTCTACAAAAGGTGCGTTTTAGCTGACCCTGCCAGTGCTGGTGGGTGGCGGAGAGCAATAATGGCCCGCTGTGTCAACCTGCTAATATCCAACCGCAGAAAGAACGACAGGCGCTCAGCTTCTGGAGAACTGTCCTGCTCGTGTGTAGTTGTGGTGTTGACCCTCCGCATAAGCATATTTGGATAAATGTAATAATTCGTGGCCTGTCCCTGAAAATGATAAACGAATGTGTGTGTCTCCGTTTTGCAGAAATATGCCTGTTCAAGGCGCTAAAGCGCTGCGGCAGAAAGGTCATCAAAAAAATGGCGTCATCCCCCGACTTCAACAAGCGATGCACAACTAAGGAGGTATGCTTATAACCCCAGAGCGCGTGTTCACTTCGACGTCCGATGTTCAGGCCGGGTGCACCGAAGACAACAACACCGCTTGATGCCTGTTAAAAGAGTTGCCTACGCCTAAGTATATATGAGTATGTCAAGCCATGCTTTCATCAAAGGGCAGCCGCGGTAATCTCTGCCGAATATAATCAAATTCGCTGTTTCGTTGGTGGACCGAGCCGTGGTGTGAGATTACCTCTGACGGCGCCGTCTGCCCTCCACCAGCGGTTCCTGGACTGCATGTCGCTGAGGCAGCGCCGGGGCTGCAAGGCGCGGGGTCGCCGGCGCCACGGCCCCAGCCGCCGCCTGGTGCAGCAGTACCGCCGGCGTCTGCAGCGGCTGCTCAGCTCGACCCGCGGCTGCGTCATCGGCGTCGATCTGTCGGCGACGGCGGGCCGCTGACGACCGCCCTCGGCGGGATCACGCTGCAGCGGCGTGATCGCTCGGATCACCATAACTCGTGGGGCCGACGCGCTGGCGTCACCTCAGCTGGACCACCTGATCTGGGCTGCAGGGTCAGCTCACCTCGACCTCTCGGTCACACCGTTCGGACCACTTGGTCACCTCACCTGGACCGCCGAGGCGGCTGCTACCGCAACGTCGCAGCCGTAGCAGCCAGGCTGGTGCGGAATCTGTGCGGGCCGGGCGCGCGGCGGTAGAGCGGCGCAGGCCGGCCTCGGCCCACTCCGCCGTCGCGCACGTGGGCGGCGGCCGGCGACGCTCCGTTACCCGGCCAGCGCCGGCGGCCGGGCGCCGCCCTGCTCGCGGCGCCCGCCGGACGGGCGGCGCCACCGAGACCCGATGACTCATGCGGTCCTTTATCGGCCGCCGCGGCCGGCCGATGCACAGATAAAGCCCGGCAACGGCCTGGGTGACGTCACTCACGCGTGTTACGTCAGTGGGAGAAGGCGGCCGGCTGGTTCCGGTGTGCCTTCTCCACCGTCGTCTGTCTCACGGCGGGTGGGCGCCGGGGAGCGGCCCGGCACGCCGCCGGAAGACACTCCCACACCCGGCGGCGTCACCACTCAAGCACGCCGCGAGGTCAGCGTTCGAACACGCGGCGGCGGCGGCGGCGATGTCTGGCGCGGATGGATAGCGATATTGGCGGACCGTTGCGAAGGTCTCAGTTCCTAGACTTCTCGACCGTTTGAACTGTGTGTTCTATTTTCGCAGTTGATGCTTTGTTTGTTTACACCTCCTGGGGAGGGTTGCATGTGTTCTGTGGGAGGTATGTGGATCGCTTCGCGGTCGTGCGCTCTTACTGCCTGCGTTTATTAACGCGGCATGAAGGAGAGCAGCTAAGGAGGCTCATGGTGCTTTTGTTCCCCCCCCCCCCCCCCTCCTCGTGAAGATCGAGCGCGTTTTTTTTTTACCACAATTGAATATAATTCCACAATCTAGTGGATAAAAAAATGACTTAGCACCTCACTGATTACGGTGGGCAGTGGCAGTGCGTCACAACGAACAGCAGTAATTTAGTGACTAGGCCAGAAATAGGATAACCAAGTGCATGCATATGTGAAGTACGCAGCTGAAACAGTCGTCTTCGGCGCCAGTGGAAACAACCTCCACCGCTCATTGCCGCGTTAAGTACTGCGCCTATTGGCATTTGTGATGTTTGTTGTCCGTTCGCAGCGTGTGGGTTCTGTGAATGGTGCTGGGCTTTGTAAAAACCCAGCTCTCCCCGCGCTGCAAATCCTTGTCGCATTTATCGTAAACCATGGCTGCGATCTCGGTTACATGTCCTGTTTTTCCATTCCGCTTTGCTTTCCGGAATGGATTAACAATTCCGCGGCATGCCAAACTATCTCACAAAAAGAAGGTCATCAGATTCTTGTGTTTCGGCGTTATACACTCAAATAAATTGGAGGTGAATAGTTCAGCATCAGATCTCTGAACTCATGTCAAAATTACCTACACAATATGATTAGCAAAGCACATGTTGCAATGTCTGTTGGTTGGAGTGAAAGATCGTACTGGACCCGACACCAAAGATCTTGCAGGTGAACTGACCTCCGGAGTTAATCGTGGAGTGTGAGTCGCCTGTACGTAGCCACAGTCAAAAGCAGAGGGATCAAAGGAGTCCATGGGTGTCATGGCACTCCCACTTTCCCATATGGTGACGCATAGGAAGAACTGACTTCGAAATTCGATTACGCGACCTAATTTCTGAGGCGTGCCTCCGCCTATGGTCATAGTAAATACAAGGCCACAAAACATGGTAAACATCCCCAGCACGCCACATTTAAAAACGGTGTACATGGCTCTGAAGCAGTGTATGATGACCCGTATTGACTCTCAGCCCTCATCATTGCTGCTATAACACGCGAGTCGGCACGTGATTGTATCTGGCAGCTGATGGAAGCGTACTCCGTGCGCTGGCACCCGCACGTTTTCGGACGAGCCTGACAGGCGTCGAAGGCATGCCATTTAATACGCCGCACGTGAGCCACACATCTGTGCGGACCAGGCCGGTGCCTGGAGCAAATTTCGTCCGTGACCCTCGGACAAGATTTGGAAGCAAGAGCTCACTGCATGCAACTGGGTGCATATCTTTACGTTGTCCAATTGTACCTAACGTGAGCATCCTCATCGGGCCGCGCTGATAACGCTCCCATCGCCACCAGGAGCTGTTTCTGGGAAGCTTGCAGGCCGGCCGAAGACGCATCCATCATCGAAGCTGGGAAGGGGCCGAGTCCCACAGCGCCACTTTCACCGAAAGCCGGCATGCATACGAAACATGTGCGCTGCATCGCCGCCCTGCAGGCGTATCCGACCACCCCCAGTCAGCCCCTGGAGTCCGCTCCTGCGACACGGCGGGCTGAGAACGCTGCGCGAGATTGGCAGGCAGCCGATCGCCGGCCGACGCTGCTCGCACGAACTCCGACGGCGGGGGACCAGTGCTACAGCTCACTTCACATACAGTCATGTGGCAACGCGTAGACCAGGTCTTGGTTTGTCGGCCGCTCTGCTGCAGGTAAGCAACGGTTATATTGTGAGCTATCTGAGGTACGTTTTATATGTCACTTTGAGATGTCTTAGTTCACTTGCTTTAGGTAGACTCACAAATCCACATATATGTGGATTTTTAAGCCAACGCTTTAACCACTACAAATAGCGCCACCGAAAGGTGAGATTTGAATGGGATTACGCCACCGAGCACTGGGGTTTGCATGGGATGAATATCGCTACCGGGTCGTGCGACTGGTGTGGGATAACGCTACCGAGCCGAGAGGCTTGTAGGGGGGATCTAGCGCCCTCTGAGGCCCGGCTGAGCGAAGATGATGCTGTCCGGCCAGAGTCCGCCTCCGCGACGGCGAGCGATGCGGCCGGTGTGGCCCTCTGATGTCCAGGGGTCAAGTTAGACTGTCGACGGGTCAAGTTAGCTGACCAGGCCATAAGCCAACCATTGAACCATGACGTCCATCATCGAAACGGCATAACTAAATAGCGTTCACCGCTTATTGTTTATACAGCCTACATCCAGGATGCAGCCTGCGTCGCAATGTTTCAATCATCGGAACCGCCGGAACTTATCGGACCGCACGCCTCCACGACGACGAGATCTTGTTTGTTAACACGGCGGGGGCCGCACGATCTTGTTTGTTAACGCAGCGGGGGCCGCACGATCTTGTTTGTTAACGCAGCGGGGGCCATGCGATCGTCGACGTTGATTGCCTCATACGGCAGGCGCTATGTGTTTGTT